GATTAGGGCCTGTTCACCTTCACTGCAGAGAGGAGCCTAGCATGCATGTGCCTGCTTTGACTACCAGGGTTAGGTGATTGGTTAGTCGATCGGGCTGGTTCTGTCAGACCTCCCCTCCCTGCCCTCCAGAAAGGCCCTCCTGCCTTCCATGAGCCTTAGTCCTTCAGCATCAGCTGCATTCGCCCCAAGCCCCTTTCAGGCCCACCAAACCCCCAGTTCATCCCTTATGTCCCCTTTTCCAAAGCCTCACCTTCAAGTTTATTTTATTATTATTTTTTTTTTCTTAAAAGATGACCGGTAAGGGGATCTTAACCCTTGACTTGGTGTTGTCAGCACCATGCTCACCCAGTGAGCTAGCCGGCCATCCCTATATGGGATCCAAACCCGTGGCCTTGGCGTTATCAGAACCACACTCACCCGAGTGAGCCACGGGCCGGCCCTCACCTTCAAGTTTATTTTATTATTATTTTTTTTTTCTTAAAAGATGACCGGTAAGGGGATCTTAACCCTTGACTTGGTGTTGTCAGCACCATGCTCACCCAGTGAGCTAGCCGGCCATCCCTATATGGGATCCAAACCCGTGGCCTTGGCGTTATCAGAACCACACTCACCCGAGTGAGCCACGGGCCGGCCCTCACCTTCAAGTTTAGGCATAAATGGAGGGAATGGAACTGCACCGAGTATGACCTAAGGCAAGGGCTTTGGATCAGACAGACCTGGTTCGAACCCCAGCTCTGCCGTGTGACTTAATCTCTCTGGACCTCTGGTCTGCTAAGTGGGGGTGATCAGAATGGACCCTCCTCAGGGGTTGTCAGAGATCAGTGAGGTCAAGTGTGTAAAGAACCTGCCCCAGGTGGCCAGGGCCAGCACTCAACAGCAAACCGGGCTATTCCTGTGACTCCTTGGTCCCCTTCTTCTCTTCCCCTCCTTCCTCTACTTTTCCTCTCCCCTCCCACTGTCCTCCTTGCCTTGGGCAGGTTGGGTTCTGGCTCAGGTTCAGGCCCCACTGCTGCTGACTTTCTGGGACTTTGCAAAAAGTCCTCTGATTGGGGCCTGTCCAAGTCACTTTTCCTGAGGCCTTTCATCTCCTGTGATGGCTGTCTGTGTTCTAGGCACATTGGGGCTGGTAGCTCAACCCCTCTCCTAGTCAGGACTGTTGGGAGCTGTGGGGACGAGGCTGGCCCCCTCTGCTCCTTCAGCCATCCAGGATCCTGTCCAAGGTCACCATTCCTCCAAGCGTCCTCCAGGCTTACCTCCCACTTATGTAGAGCCACCCAAGTGAGGAGGAGGTTGGGCAGAGGGCTTGGGGCCCCTAAGAAGGCTTCAGCCCCCATAGGACCTGGGAAACCCTAGGTCAGAAGGCAAGCCAGACATGCCCTTTAACAAGAGAATTACTAGAGCTGAGAAAGGATTGAGATTGGAACTAGCACTGGGGGGAGGGGAGAGATGAAGGAACAAGTCTTGATAACTGGGGGATAGGGGTGCCCTCAAGGGAGCCCCTGCTTCTTTCTCCCCATGATGGCTGGCTTGGAGCCACAACAACCTGTGGACCTGCTGGCTGGCCCCCGTCGCACTCCTCAGTACAGCTGTCTGCATTGCTGTGGGAGCTGTTGGGTTCTTCCAATTAACTCTCTGGGCCAAGGACACCAGCAGGTGTGCAGTCCTGCTGTGGTTGTTGAGGCCCTACACCCATTGCATCCTGGCCTTTCTGCTGCTTCCCAGCTGGCCCCAGGGGCCAGGGCTAGAGCCTGGGGCTCAAGGGGAGCTAGCCTTGTGCAGGGTCCATGCTGTGGAGTTGCCCTAAGGTCTCCTGTGCTCCCTGATGGGCCTGCAAGTGGAAAGCACCACCCTGGACCACATTGATATAGAGATGGCCTATTTCCCAGGATGGGACCATCTGCTGGGCTGTGTCACTTGGATCTCCCTGGGATTCAGGGCTCAGCTCAGGGCCCACCCCAGGAGACAGGGGCGACTGGAGCAGGTCCAGGGGAATGTTGAGAGGGATAAGGCACTAGGGGCCTGCTGTCCAAGGACTGTTGCACCTTCAAGTCTCATTTGAGATTAGAGGACAGGCTTGGCTGGCAGCTTGACCAGCCCCTGCAATTCTACTCTCACCTCTTCAGAAACCCCTTTCAGCCCATTTCCCGCCCTCTCTCTAGTGAGGATTTAGATAGTCAGGGAAAAGGGAAGCAAGAATGACATGGCAGTGAGAATCAGCATGGCTGTGGACCAAGAGGCCTGCAGGCCCACGGTGTGTCAATGGGCTGGAGGGGTCCCAAACACTTACACCATGGGTGAGCAGAAGGGCGCCATCGTGGGTCCTTGGGTAGAAGTAGAACAGAAAGAAAGCATGGCAGTTGCATCCCCAGGCTCACACAGTTACAAACAGAAGTGAGGAATCAGACCCAGGCCCAGCTGGCCCCAGAGCTCTGCTGTTGGACATGGAATTAGCATACGCATTTGCCAAGCGTCCACTGCACACAGACACTGTGATTGGGGAAAAGATGGAAGGGAGCTGGCCATGGCTGTGTCCTATAAGTGACATCCCTATGTCTAGGCTCTTCTGTTATCTCCTCCAGGGGTTGAGGCAGTGGTGTTAGAGATGACTGGGTGGCTGATGGAGGGACTGCTCAGGCAGGCCTGGGAGGAGGAGGTGGGGCTAGAGGTAGGACGACCCCAGGAGACCAAGGCTGCCTGCTCAGGAATGGAAGCTGATAGCTTTGGACAGCCCTAAATATGCAGATCTAGCAGGCAGAGAATGGGGCAGGGAGGAGACTGCTGTGATTCCTTCTGCAGAACCCTAGTGACCCTAACAATAGCAGTAGTGACAATAATATAGGCTCCTCTAAGCATGAATTTTGCTATCCTTGGTGGCCCATGAGGTGGGCATTACTTTCTCTCATTTAATAGATCAGACACTGAGGTTCGGAGATGGGTGACGTTGGCAGAATTCCAGCTTCCAAGCCTTTGTGTCACCTGTTATGTCCCTGGGGTGTGGCCTGCCACCTGGAGACCTGCCACTCCCTTCGCAGTCTTGAGCCCCAGCCCAGTAACCATGCCAGGCTGCAAGGTGCATCCTGGACCCCAGGGGAAGGGACTCTGATATTTCTCCAGGAGAACTGCATGGTGCCACCTCAGATCCTGGGGTTCCACTTCTACAGACATCCCAGACTGTGATGGCACCTGGGAATGACCTTGACGGGGAAGTCAAGGTATGGGAACTTCATCCCCAGCTGGGGGAATGCCAGGCAGCCGCGCCCCCTGCTGGTACAAGTGGGCTGGGGTGCTGCTCTGTAAAGGCTTCAGCCAGTGTGGCTGAAACTGTGACCACAGCACACCCGGGGCCATGGTCCGAGACCAGGAATAGGGTGTGTTTTTAATGTCCCCAAACCTGGGAAGGATGGGTCAGGGCATATGGGGGACCTGTTTTTGCTGCTTAGTCATGCGGCCTTGACCTATTCTCTCCTGTTTCTGAGCCTCAGTTTCCTAAACAGTAAAGCACTGGGCTCCAGGCTCTGACCCCTCCTCGCCCTCTTTCTCCATCACCGTCTTCCATCTGAGGGCCTCTGTCCTGAGGCAGGGCCCAGGGGGCCTGGGGAACAGCTTGGCCTGGGGCCCACTTGGCCTCTACCTTCCCTGGCCTCGAGACTCACCCCCTAATTGCCACTGCTCTGTGGGAAGGAGAGACTTCGCCACAAATTATTTTGTTCTAAAAGAAGGACAAAAAGAAAAGAGAAGCTGGGAGGGATGGGGGGGGTGGGAGGAGGAGAAGATTGCTTGAGCTGACTTTAACTCTTAGACTGCCAGGTGCTGGGCAGGTGCCCCCTCCATCCCCCCTTCAGATGACAGAGGCCTTATCTCCCCACTGTCTGGCTGTCACTCTCCTGACCTTATCTCTCCCTGCCTGTCTGTCTTTCATCAGCTGCTTCTCCCACCTCCTTATCTCCCCTCATCACCTCCTCTCTCTCTCTACATCCCTCTACTTCTGCACAGCCTGATGGAGTGGCTCAGTCATGGCAGCCCCAGCCTGTGACCTCTGGCAGTGAAGGAGCTTGGCGGTCTGAATGGACACATGGACCCTATCAGGCATGGACACACACACGCACGCATGTGCACACACCCAAAACCCCAGCCATGAACAAAGACACTTGCAGAAATCCACTTCCAAGACTCATATAAGCCCCAGGCTGTGTCTAGAGGCCCTAACCCCACCCACCCCCAACATGCCAGCACACGCACACGGAGGGATGTTTTGAGCTATCACATGCATACATACACACAGATTGTCAGATTTACACCGCCACATGTGCGTGCACACAGACCCGCCCTCCCAGGAGGGGATGGGTAGATTAATTTCCCCCGCTTGATCCCTGCACCCCATATCCTGTGCCGTGAATGACAGAGGAGCCCTTAGGGGTGCCAAGAGCTCCTGCTACAGTTTCTGCCAATGGCCTGGGGCAGCACCAGCAAAAGGGGGTATGGATGCTGAGCCCATGTGAAGGGTTAGCTGTGTGTGTGATGCACGTGTGGGGTGTGTGTACATGCTGAGTGTGAGAGCATCTTCATGTTGGGATGGGGTGTTTGGTATGTGCCTATTGGCTCCATCTTCCCCCAACCCCCTGCCTCCTGTCCAGCTCACCCTTCCCCCTCTGCACTAGTCTCACAGCCACTCTGCACTAGTCAGATAGTGCTGCTCATGGCCCTTGAAGCAGGGACCCTGAGGCCCAGAGAAAGCAGTGATGATCCCATCCCACCAACCACAACCACCGACCAGCCCAAACTGGGTCCTCATCCCAGATGTGAGCTGAAGAACCCCCGGCCTTGCCCTTCCTTTGAGTCCGTGAGGGCGCTGGACCTCCATGTCCTCCCTCAGTGGCGAAAGCCAGGGTTAGGGTGGGGGTGAGGACTGTGCTGAGAGAGCTGTGCAGAGGGAGTGAGTGTTTAGGGGCATAGGACTGTGGGAGCACCCCTGCCTCACCCCTGCCTCTGCTTCCTTCCAGATCTACAAGGACAACCGGAACCTGTTTGAGGTTCAGGAGAACGAGCCTCAGAAGTTGGTGGAGAAGGTGGCAGGGGACATCGAGAACCTGCTGGACAGGAAGGTACAAGCCCTGAAGGTAGGCATAGGTGTTGGGGGGATGATGGGTGGCCAGGAAAGGCCAGGAGAAGTGTTCCTGCACTGTGAGGGCAGTGTACCAACCCTCCATCATCACAGGGCCCTCCTGAATTCAGGCTGGGCCGTTACTTGCAGGGCTGTACCCACATGGACTGTGGGCAGCTGTGTCGGGGCAGAATGGGTTTCTCTGGAATAGGCTGCACGAGGGGTGACTTGGAGGCTCAAGAGCCTTGTGTGGGCATGAGGGTGGGACCTAGGCAGTCCTTACCCTCTCTCCTCCCAGGCCTAGGGTCCCCTGATCTATGTATGGATGGTGCCTGGGTTAGCACCTGGCCAGGATAGTGTCCTGTGGATGGTGGAGTCTCTGCCCTTGAGATGGGCTGAGGGGCTCTGGATGCCCCACAGACAAGACCATGGCTGTGTAAGGCTGGGGGCTACTCTGCCCCAGCTCTACCCCTGACTTTGAACATTTTTCTGTCCCCCTCTGGGCCTCAGGCTCGCCGTGTGTACTCAGAGAGGTTGTGCTTGTCAGCTTCAAGGCCCTATGGTTCTGTGGGATGACAGGACCTGCTGGGTTGCTCTAACAAAACAGGCAGACCCCTGGTACTCCACCTATCCCAGAGACCACAGTTCGGGAGGGGGCTTCTGGAGCTGTGGAGTGCCCTGGCTATATTGTGCATAAATTAGTGAGAGGCATCCATGCTGCCCCCAGATCAGAGGTGGACCTGCAGCTGGACCAGCTTGTGTCAAAGACAGATGAGTCCAATAAAAAGGAAGGAAGTTCTGATACATGCTACAACATGGATAGACTCAAAAACGTTATGCTGAGTGAAAGAAGCCAGCCGCAAAAGACTGCATATTGTGTGATCCCATTTCTATGAAATGTCCAGAATAGGCAAATCCATAGAAATGGAAAGTAGATTAGTGGTTGCCTTAGGCTGGAAAGGAAGGGATAGGGACGGCCTGCTAATGGGTACAGGGTTTCTTTACAGGGTGATGAAAATATTCTGAAATTAGATTGTGGTGATGGTTGCTCAACTCTGAATATTCTAAAAACCACTGAATTGTATACTTTATATGGGTGAATTTGCTAGCATGTGAACTATATCTCAAAACAGTTTTTTGTTTTGCTCTGGTTTTTTTGAAAGAACAAGTCCTCACAAGCTATGCCCAGACTCAGGCCCGGGTCCTGGCAGGGTCAAGTCAGGGCAGCTACCCCAGCCCAGACCCCCATCATATCCAGGCTCCAGGAAGCAACGCGAGTCCCCTTCTCTAGGAGCTGGGCTTTGCTGTCCCCTCAGGGGGTCCCATGCCCACCCCTGTGTGACCTGGGGTCATGGAATGGGAACAGGCTGGCATCCTGCAGACAGGATCCCAGAGAAGGTGGACTCTGAGGGCCTCCCACCCAGTGTGGACCCAGAGAACCCAAAGCTGGGCCTGACCCATACCCAACTGCCCTCCAGGAGCTCCTGGTCACAGGTGTGAGGAGACAGCTAGGGAAATGAGCTGTCATGGGGAGGAAGCTAGGCCGTCAGCTGGGACAGCAGTCCCAGTGGGCCCGATGTCTTTCCCTCATCATGGGAAAGTGCTGCTCATTCCACCCAGCCAGCCAGAACGCTTTCCTCCTTGCCTTTCCAATAACTGGGCCTGACCTGGACGCCTTCCCCTCTTTTCTCTTGTTCTGTCTCTGTCTCTCTCCCCCTCATCCAGGCCCCTCATTTACACACTACTTCCCAGCTTTGCCGTGCAGGCTGCCCAGCTCCGAACGTGTGTTGAAACTGTCTGATAAAGGTGGGAGGAAGCATCCTTCAGCCTGTAGGCCTGCCACTCCCAGGCCTCAGGACTGGTCTCCTCAGCAGAGGTTGCTGAGGGGTGGCAGTGACAGACGCTAATCTGCCCTCCACACATGGAGCCCAGCCTCCTGCCCATCCTCCATTCCCTGCCCCTAAAGGAATAATCAGCCCTGGTAGCTTGGGGGGCAGCCGAAGGCCTGGGGTCCTGGCCCCAACCTTCTCCCTGCACCCCACATGCTGAATCCCGTGCTGTGAGGTAGGACAGATGTCTGTCTCCTTTCCACAGCATGTGCAGCCCAGCCCATGGCGCAGTACACAGTCAGCACTAAGTACAAATTTTCAATGGAAGAATGTTGGAAAAAGGCACACACAGACTGGGCACTCACCATGTGCTGAGTCGATCACTCGTCATTCTCACAGTAACCCGAAAGGGAGGCCCTGCTACCCACACTTCACAGAGCAGAACACTGAGACTCAGAGGGGCCATGCATCAGACGAGGCTATGGCAGAGCCAGGATTTGAACCCAGGTCTCTCTGACCCTGAGCCAGGCCCTTGACTCCTCATAGTATTCCTGAGGCATGCACTGAGCCCCCTGCCCTTGCCCTGCCAATGCTCTCCTGGCCAGTGAACGCCTACTGCAGCGCCCCCTGGCTCCAGGCCCATGAGATGCTCCAGCCCATATCCCCAGAGGAAGGGGAGGACCACCCTTCCCCCTCATTGGTCCTAACTGTTCAAGATGAGCTTTGTCTTAATTACGTTTTAAATTGGCTTTTAATCAAGTTCTGGTCCCTTTCTCCTTTTCCACATGTGTTTGCAGCCTGACTGCATATGGAGGGAGGGGTGTTGGGGTGCTGGACCCACTACCGTTTTACCGCCACTCCATTGTTTCTCTCTCCCTGGACCCCATCCAGTAATCCAATTTAAATCCCTTGCTCTGGTCTGGAATTTTAATTTGGGCCTTGCAAAGAGGCGACTGAGCAACACAGGACGGAAGTTCATTGTCTCGTCTAATCAGGGCCAATCAGATGTTTGTAACAAGTTTCTCCAAACTGCCCAGGGTGTTTTCTGAGGCCAAGAATCAGGCAGGGGCAGTCCAGAACAGGGGCCTTGCAACACAGGCAACCAGCATTCCCAAGCCCAGGAAACATGCTGCACCTTCAGATTCGGGGACATGGAGGGGAACCTGCCTTAGAACTTTACCCAGGGAGATGGGGCCTCTGAACTAGGGCCCACTCTTGGGCTGGTGAGTCCCAGGAGGGATAGGGAGGTGCCTAAGTTCTTATAGTGCACTGGGGGCAGAGTTGGACACAAATAAGGAGACTCCTGTCCTCCCAGCTGGGACCTTGGTACAAGAGGTCATCTCTTCATTATTGTATGCCTCCTTCCATCTGTCAACACTCACCAGTGGCCTACTGTGTGCCAGGCCCTATGCTAGTGCTAGGGGTGCGGCGAGGTAGGACAGGCCCTGTTCCTGCTCTCGTGGACTCTCAGTGCAATCCTGTCCCAGGACATGAGCACCCTGCCTGACCAGTACCTCTGGTTTCCAGAACCTGCACATCCCAGCCCTGGGTGCAAGTCTGCCCTTCTGGCCAGGCCCATGTTCCCCATACTCCACTTCAGGTCCTTCCCCTTGTCCCAGGGCCAAGACCTTTCCAGGTGTTGTGCCTTTGTACCTTTATCTTAATACAGTGTTTTTGAACCCTGGCTATACAGTACAATCACCTGGGGAGTTTTTAAAATCCTGATTCCCAGGCCCCACCTCAGATTCAGTGCATCAGATTCTCCCTGGGTGTAGTGGGGCGTCAGTATTTTTCAACACTCCACAGATTATTCTGTGTAGATTCAGAGTTCAGGACTTTTCCCTCAAAGAGGCAGAAATAATTTCTTTCCACAACTACTGGCCTCTTTCTGCGTGCCTGCCAAGTGCCAGGCCTACGATGAGCCTGAACCCTCCATATTGCTCTGAGTCCTCACCACAAGTCACTGGGTTACTTCTCTTATCCCCATTTTACATTTGAAGAAATTGAGCCCCAGAGAGGTTAAACCACTTGCCCCAGGTCTCACAGCAAAACACTAGTGCTCCAGACCCTACAAACTGCCCCCCAACACTGCCCTCCTCTGTGGCCTCCACTAGTGGCCATGTGACATTTGCTGTCCACAGGAGGACAGGGCCGCAGGAAGAGGAGATGGGTCACTGGTCTCCTCTGACAGGGGTTAGCTCTGTGAAGACCTAGTGACCTTGGGTAAGTCCCTGCCCCTACAGTTTCTTCCTTGGACAGCGAAGACAAGACACTGATCACCCCTTCGACACCTCCCCATAAGGCTCAGATGGGAGGGGCAGGGGGAGGTGCAGCTCTAGCTTTGGTTCTGGGGGCTCCAGTGGGCAGCATTCCCCCCATCAGTGGCCTCTCTGGGGAGTGAGCATCATTTAAAGAGTAAAATGAAAAACGCTTCTTCACATAGCCGCCCTGCTTTTGCCGCTAATGGCCACTTAACCCAATTAAACTGAGGCATTGTTGGCAATGTGGCTGGGTCTGTTCAGGACCTGGGCTCTGGGCTGGGTATTCAGAGGAGCAAGAGGTATGAGGCAGGGAGGGAGCCATGGGGCCAGGGGCTACAAGGAGACCACTCCCTTTGTCAGGAGAGAGAATGTTCCGCCTAGCTCCCACTTACTCTGTTTCCTTTCTAAAGCTTCATCTAAAGCAGGGTTTCTCAACCTCAGCACTATTGACATTTTGTGCTAGATAGTTCTTTGTCATGGGGGCTGCTCTGTGCACTGTAGGATGTTTAGCAGCGTCCTTGCCCTCTACCCACCAGATGCCAGTAGTACACTACTCCTCCAGTTGTAACAACCAAAAAATGTCCCAAATATTGCCAAATGTTCCCTGGGGCAGAGTTGCCCCCCAGTTGAGAACCACTTGTCTAATGCGACAGAGAAATGCAACTGTGGTGAACAGAAGTCCCACGAACAGGGGGACATTGGGGACCTCAGAGAGGTGCAGATAGAATAGGGCAGCCCTAACAAGAGAAAGATCTCTTCAGTCCAAAGGGGTGATAGGGAAGGCTGCCTGGAGGAGGCAGCAAGGATTTGGGGGGAAAGTCTGGCACTGAGGCAGCTGGAGGCCAGTTCCTGGGTTCACTTATTCATTGATGGGGTTAGACAAACAGGTTGGCCCAAGAGAACGAGGCTATGGGTGTCACCTACTG